TGTGTTGGAATGGGATCCTCAGCATCTGTTTCCTGAAACTCTCAAGGTATAGTTTTGTGTGTTTTCGCCACTCACCCTATTTTCTCACAAACTGTTTTTCCACCATACTGACAGCTGCTGATCTTTTATTCAGTATTTACTACTACGGATGCGAAATGTTGTCACTGGCGAAAATAAATGAGCAAAAGCTGACTATGATGAAAAAGTTATTGACAGCCATTGAACTAGTTTACGGTACCTGCGGGAAACAAATGGCGATTTGGACAATGTCCAAAGGGATAGCTCATATAAATCGACTAGAGGTAGGCAACAGCTAGAGATATTGCGCCACTAAAAGGGGTTTAGTTTAGCTGTGCGACGGCTTGTGGAGGCATCCCGAAAACTTGCCAATGCGAGACTCCCAAATATAAGATTTCCACATTATCCAGTGCGACTTGATATTAATATCGTAAATTTTTATTTGAAATTGCAAAGGGCTGCCTCGTTGAGCGCTGATGTTTTCGCAGCCCACCCGTCGGACGCTCTGTGCCAAGCCTTTCTTTATTGAACTGCGTACTTCCATTAAGGATCTGTTATGTATGCCAGAAATCGTGCTATGTAATATGCGGGCATTACTTTACTGATAATTCTTTGAAAGTAGTTTTTTCTTCGAAATAAAATATCCATCTTTGTGTGGTGTTTTCGAAAATCGCCTGGACATTGATTTTCTTTCTCGCTGATATCGTCTAGTTGCACGTGACCACTATCGGTTCTCAGCGCAGCGAGCACCTTGCCCTCTCCTGTTTGGTATTATTTTCTGCTGCGGCCGCAACAGTATCCTTACGCCACTTGTCTGATGGGGCTTATTATTTTATGCGATTTTTGCATCTATGCAGTGCAAAAACGCACATTGCCAAAGGGTTGTCTGTGTCTGTATGTGCATTTGTGTGTCTGTCTGTCTGTCTGTACTGACTTTTCATCCCGAGATCTACAAAAGCTACAAAGCTGAATTTTTGGCAAGTTCATTTACACATACGTTTGGGCCCATATCCTGAAGATGGACGCTCATATCCACGTGTTTCTTACGTACGGGCGCGTGAAAGTTTTTTGGCGGAAAAGCGTTTTCGGGAACGGCACAAGCTAGAAGGCTGAAACTTTACACAGATGCCACTTGGCCACCTCTAATCGAAAAATTTCAAAGTCAGCCTTCAAGCACCCCTACGTTTTACGTGCACACATGCCAAAGTTTAAACTGGCATCGTGCCAACTCCAAGTCTAAGCTGACCAAGAAGCTGTGGCGAACTGTAATTTTGCAGCGTTAGTTGCGACCGTTTGCTGTGTCCGTGAGAGTAAATTGAGCTCTCCAACCTCTCCGCATCTTACGTATGGACACTTGAAAATTTCACGCAGGCACTTTTTTAACTTTGGAATTGAAGCAGCTAGAGGAGTGGAACTTTCTGAACATAACCGACCAGTTGGACGTTTCTTTCATGTCTCACGTGCGAGCACGTGAAATTCGATGTAGCTCCGCAACCAGTGCGACTCAAATGCTGAATTTTTCGGGCTTGGATTGGGAGTTATTGTAGTAATTTCCAACAGTCGTGGTGGCTACTTTCAATTCTTTAGCTGTAAGCTTCTGCCCGAAAAAACATTGCCGTTGGTAATAAAAGCCTGTAGGCGAACTGTGCAAAAAACGCATCTTCGCACCGACAGCCGGCGCGCTGTAGACTGAGTCTTTATCTTGCGGAGCAATATTTCACACCTTTTTCACTTCATCAAATTCTCTATCATGAACAGTATTTAAGTTCGTTCGTGGTCGCTTTTCACGTTCGTGTATCACTGTTTTCTGTGGCTTGGAGATGTTTACGATTTTTCTTGTCCTGTTACTTTGAGGACACAGATGATATAAAATCCGCAGCAAATGACAGTTTCTGGTGGCGCC